TCCGTCGAAAACGCTTAGGTTAAGGGCTCACTCACCTTCCTAATCGGCTGTGCTAAGGGAATGAGAGACTAAGCGCGGAGAGGAGAGTATGAGGCGAGAGAGCGCTACAGATGAGAGAGCGCCAGACAACAGCCTGATAAGAGAAAAAATCTGCAGCTTAGCAGCTTACTTTGCAAGGCCCAAGCGCTCTTGTCGGTTGGTTTCCGTGCACGGAACGCCACATTTGTGATTGTCCTCTAGGGGTCTATACTACAGACCGAAGAGAAGCGTTCACACGACCTCTGCCTGGGTTGTGCCTTTAACCAACACACGTACATATATTAAATGTAGCCCTTTATCAGGACAATCCCAGTTGGGAAGACAGAGAAAATTTAAAGGGATTTTCGTCCCCCAACCCTTCGGGAAGCATACCTTATCGCCACTGGTTGTAGAATAAATTTCGTCCCATTTTCTTGGCTCCCAAAGACTCATGCAGCAAAAGATCATGCAGAGCTCTGGGTGAAGTCAGATCGGAGAATTTAGTTCTTCATTCTCTTTTTCACAAATTTGTTCGAAATTGGTTTCACGAACTGTTTACCGAACTTGAATTCATCAATTTATTTTGAAAAAGTCACTCAATTCTTTTTTTGCAGTGCTAGTGGTATTCGAAGAAATCCCCCCTCTCGAAGTGAATAATTTGAAAGCTGACGTTAGCGATTTGCAAGTTACTCTATCCTGGAATGTGACCGGGATCGTATCTGGCGAAGAGCCCGATTTCAAAGTGAAGTGAGTTTCCTAGGATATTAAAATTATATGGGCTGTCAAAGGTGATCTCGCGGTTTTTGACCCTTCTGACTTTATTGACCTCACGAAAAAAGACAACGCACTCAGAAGCATGTTTACCACCGACTCTCCACCAATTATTGAGCAGAATTCTTTTGTTCTCACCAGAAAATGTCCTGGATCTAACATTCAGCGATAGAGGTCTTCGTTATCGTCAGAGAGATTTCTCGCATAGCCTTCATTAGCAATAGGATTAGGTGTTGGAACAGGACCGATAGAAGTGGTTGAAGCAACACCTCTATTCGAAGTTGAAGCCGCCCATTTTGGTGAATCGCTCTTGTAATGAGTGGACAAGCATTGCCGTGCAGGAATCGGATCGTGCCGCCTTTCGGAACTCTTCACTTTCGCGTTTGGCAGAATCACGCCGTTCTCAAACGGAAGAAAACCTAAAACGCGTGCTCGTCAACGAGTCGTGTGGGAACCCCAATCGAGAAAGACGTACCGGTTCTCGTCGTTTCTGTCGACACAATGCTTAGCCTAGGGCTGAACGCGCTATCAGAGGGTTTTCTGAATGAAAGTAGGAGCTAGATTCAAGCTCTTCCAATCTTTTCTGAACAAATCACAATATTATTCTGGGTTGTCCAGAAAATCCTGCGACACTTAACAAAGTTCTTTAGGAAAAAATCAAAACTCTTTCCAGTAGTTTTGGTATTTGATTGCTGCAGTGTATCTTCGGAGGTTTCGGCAGAAGCGTAAATGGAGGCTACGTGCAGCGTTTAACTGCTCAAACTTCTCTCTGAATCAAGCCATCTTTTGACCTATTTTATTTTTCGAGCTCCTGTAAAGCCACTCCGTTTGTGTCCTTGCAGCTAGCATCTGTGCTGTAGTCAGGAGGGATGTCATTCACTAGGCCATGGTGTCCCGTTGGCCTTGTTCCCTCGCAACTGGAGATATTTTGTTCGAAATGGGGCACGGAGCTGGACGGCAGTAGACGATGACTGACAAGCGTTTACTCAACTTCCAAGAGGCGCAGCCGGTTGGTACCAGTAGTAGGTTAACAACAACGCTTATGTGCATTCATTCGACAATTGTCGAGGATCTGCACGATCTCGGTTACAGATCAGTATGTTCGCCATTGACACCACATGGGTTGCGCCAGTCTGGGGAGGCGAACCGTGTGACCATGATTCAGATTTCTCTTCTTCTTTCGCATCAAAGGAATCTCTTGACAAAAATGATGGCTAATGAAGATAGCTCTGGCCTTGACTAAACTATACACATAAGCACTACTGGATTCGACAAGGAGGAAAGCTGCCCGCAGGAACAAAAGCAGGCCTTCGTCAAGAAGGACTTTTTAGTGTTTCTGATGAGGTTGCAAACTGATTCGCTACAGAAAGCTGCTGGATACCTGCACCAGGGTAACGACCATTGTCGGCTTTAACAACCTTCGAAATTTGGCCGAAGCCATGCGTCAAATCACGCAGAAATTCTCGATACGGTGTTACCCCACCCTAACCCATATCTGTATGTGGCGAAGGATTACACATGAGGAGATCGTGGATTTTGATCGGGAAATTCTGCAGTGCTTGGCTTACTCGCCTGACTTAGTCGTTTCTAAATATTGCGTAATTAGTACACTGAAGCGCTACCTCGAAGAGAAAAAATCCAATGATTGAGGTCACCTCGAAAATTGGATGAAGCGCTTCTTTTCGAAGCAAACGCCGGATTTCTAAAGTAAGAGGGTTGAGAAGTTGCCCAGAAAAAGTACACGTCTCCTACGTGCTACCGGTGATAACCGTGCTGATTGAATATCCCATTCAACAAAAAAAAGGTACAGTCAAAAATCTTGGAACAAAGTGTCGCAGGATTTTCTTGACGACCCAATGTAAGCAAATTGGATATTATTCAATTTCGGTTTGAAGCAATTCGACTACTACTATAGTAACTGAGTGATTCGACTACTTGTTCAGCATCTACCTTCAATCTGAATTTGGTAAGAAATCAGCTAAAACTGTTCTTTCTAAAACAATAAGACATGGCCAGATTCCTGCTTCAAGACCTCGTGCGGTGGGTTAACATCTAGCGATTCAATGAAGTTCCGTGATGATTTTCCAGTCAGGTGATCGAGTTTCTTCAGACGTTGAAACTTCCGTCAGCGAGGAATTATGTGGGTGTGGTCACTCCATTTCTTGAAACTTATGTTGGTATCCCAAATTCAGTGAATATTTCTCTTACCGGTATGACTTCCTACGAGCTTTCGCTATGAGTGATATCGTTTTTTCAATATAGAAATTCCTCTTCTAAAACGTTGTCTTAGAAGAGGATTTCGTGTATAGTACAGTACTCGAAACTTAAAGACTTTCGAAAGAGTGTAGCGTAGCGAAAGGAACTGGAAGCGTGAAATAGAGTAAACTGGGCAACCCTCCCTTTAAACATATTCAGCCGCTCCTTGGCCTCTCCACCTCCCTCCATCAGAGTGAATATTACTTGAGGATTCCTCAACGGCACGTCGAGGATTTTCGCCTGATCCTTGACGTTCTCGCGCGCGTACATTCACTCTTGCACATTGAAAGGAGACTTAGGTAGGCCAACTGATTAAAGAACTTTATCTGGAAGAAACATCTATCTAGAACGTTACCCATTATTTGTTCTGCTATGATGCCACATAATTTCGTCGATGCTTGGAGACAAAAAGGACCCTGGTATCGAGGCTCAACCACTGAAAGCGCTCGTGACATCTGCGGTTTGGTGACGTGACGGAGATGGGTTATAACTTATTAAGCACCTCAGTGGTGCTTTTCGCGTTTAGAAACGGCAAGTATGTATAATCTTGACATTCAAAATTGGTGAGAAATTAGCATGGTTAGGCAACGTATCAATAAATATGGAAGCGAGAGAGCCTAAACAGGGAAAAAACAGCGAACCTCTAAAAAATTTTAAAAAAACGAAATTACGTATGGTACTCATTATTTACCATTATCAATCCACTTTTCAGCTTCCAAGATTTAGCAAGATTCCTGTTCTTGTTCAGAACCAATGGGCCCACCAACGGATGTGCAGTTAACATTCCATTCTCCGACCTCTACCACAATTTCTTTCACAGCACCACGGCAAACGAACCCTGACGTCGAGAACAAAGGATGCCAGGTTGTTATATTACTGAAAACTTTTCAAAAAAAAACCAACTGCGGAATATGTCATGCACTGGTGCCTATCAGATCACCAGTAAAAGCCAGCAGATGTTTGTGTATCCGTGATGCTTGCTCGTGCGAGTTTCGGAGGAGAAATTTGCTCAGTCGCTCTAACCCTTGTACGAGAAGTCCTCTGAATCCATTCAAGCTCCAAGTGCTTCCCCACACTAACCATTCAATATCCGGTGAGAGAATAACATGTAATGGGTGGCAATATTTTATATCGTGTGAGATTGGAACATGAAACATGTGACCGTGCGCGCCTTGTAATCACTTCATTGCTTTATGATCCTAATGTAGTAG